GATGTAATCGCGTATGATGTAGACCGCGACGTTTCGACTGCATACTACTAGTCTTCTTCAGTCGATGAGGTCGACTGGTCATGCGTGATCAAGCATGATGCTCTGCTGTGATTAGTTGTTTTTCAACAGCTCTGATTGGTGCATTTCGATCCTTGCTGATCACTTAGTGATTTGCTCCCTCGGCGGTCCGCTGTCGCACGGCTCCCCTGTTGTGGTCTTTTTTTTTTTTGATCGTGGGCATCCACGCTTCTGGAATTTCTATTCCATTATCCCTGTTGATTCTGTTAGGGTGAAGTCTTATATGAATTGCCTCTTTGACCCTGCGTGTGTAGTAATAAGGGTCACGATCAATAAACTTTACTTCGTTCCAGAGTGGCTTGTGTCCGGTGTTGTGGGCAAGCTCTGAAACGGCGGAGGTCTCGGTACGGGCAAGTCGAACGTCTCGATCGTGCTCCTTAATTCTGTCATGCATAGGTCTTACAGTCTCTCCGATGTATACCTTGCCACATTCACAGGGAATCCTGAAAACTACGCCATCTTGTTTAGCCGGGTCGATAGCGTCTTTTGGTCGTACTAACTGAGATCTTAGCGTAGTCTCCAACTTGAAAACAGCGCGTACGCCTTGTTGTTGTAGGCAACGGCGAAGCTGTTCCGATAGACTTTTGACATAAGGTAAAACCGCCGTAGCTTTAAACTCGTGGGGGGTTCGGCACTGTTGTTTGGTTTTCCGGTCTTGGTAAGTTTCTGCAAGAAAGAAAACGGATAACCGTTAGAGACCAGAACAGATGACAGATGTTTTATTCTCTTGGGAGATGACGGAGGGTTTTGTTACGAGACGTTTGGCGCGCTCGTAAAGGCACTTAACAATACTGCGTTTTACTAATTGAGGGTGGTGTGAATCATACGCTAAGTATTGATCGGTGTGCGTGGGCTTCCTGTATACGCTGGTGGTGAGGCGGCCGTCAGGTTTTCTTAAAACTTCGGTGTCTAAGAAGGCGAGTTTGTTGTCTTTCTCTGTCTCCTTGGTGAATCGGATGGAAGGCTGCTGGTTGTTTAAATGCTGTAAGAAGTCATCTACGTTTTCGCGATCCAGGATGGTAAAGGTATCGTCCACGTGGCGTTTCCAGATCTTAGGCTCGTAGGATGATGTAGTTATCGCCTGTTCTTCGAAACTCTCCATGTAGAGGTTAGCAATAAGGATACCGTTAACAACTCTTCTGACAGTATCCGCTTGTTCAGTGTCGAGTTGTCTTACGGCTGCTTCTACCTTGGCGATGATCTCTGTGGCAGGAATATTCGCAGGAGTTACGGCGAAGTTCAGTCTTTTCTTCAGTAGGGCTTTCTCGGCATCGCTAAGGAACCTAGAAGATAAATTAACAACCCAGTTAGCTTTGTCAACATACGGTGTGTCAACCGGTGACACGGTCGCCTGTTTTTCTCGAATGAGTTTTTCAAACTTCTGCTTATGTCTGTCTTTGGTGGTGTTGAAGACTCGTTGAGTATTGGTCTTAATCTACTCTAGTATCCTGTTGGCGTCGTTTGTCGGGAGAACGGATGTTATACTCTGTGCTGTGGATTCTGTATCCTTCTTTGCATCTCCCTTGGCCTTCTGTGTCAGTCTGATCCGTTCCCTTAGGAATCTCATGGATGCGCGTTCAGCGACTCTGCGTGCGCCTTTGGTGGGAACTGGCGGTCGAACTCGTAGATCTTTAGGAACAACGTGGTTCTTGATGCACCTTGTTAGGAAGGTGAGATGGTTGGTGTAGCGTGCGAGCTTGCTCGAGCAACGCTCATGTCGACGAATCAACCTTAGGGCTGTGCGCCCATATATCCGGTTAATTTCTTAGAAAAGGTTGTGGTTATTCATCGTGGTGAATAACAATAAAAGCTAAGTTTTTCGTTTGTCTCATGATGTAGTCACGTGTGATGTAGATTGCGACGTTTCGACTGCATACTGCTTGTCTTCTTCAGGCGATGAGGTCGACTGGTCATGCATTTTTTGATCGTTGGCATCCTGTCTGTAGGCGAACAGAGATGCTGGCATATTCTGCCGGCTTTTGATACCATCGCAGTGGCCTACGCTACCTCCACTGACTTTATGTATGTTCTCAGTTCCTCGAAATAAGTCTCCTTCCTTCAAGCTAAAGAGTGAGCGTTCTTTGCTAGAAGATACAAACACTGTTCCACTTTCTGTAACTGCAATTTCTGTTGGGCCGGGAATATTTGAAATTGTTTTAGTCTTCAATCCTCCGCGTACTTGACATACATGAACATTTGACCCATTTCTGTCTCCTACTAATAAGTGCTGCTCGTCGCGAGTTCAAGTAAGGCTAACGAAATTAATGGAGTAGAGCTTCCTGCATAACATTGGTAATCTTGAAAACCTTGTTAAGGCAGAGATCTGATACATAAAGTTCAAAGTTATCCTTTGTGGCTGCACATATGGCAAAAGGCGATACCAAATTAGGTACATTTTCTTCTGGAATAAGGGAAAGAATGTGCACAGACTCTTTGTGAATTCGTCTCATGGCGAAACCCTCTTCCTCACTTTGGCTTTCCTCGGCGTCTGGATCTTCTTGGCCAATCATGGAAGCATGGAAGAAAAGCGATCTCATATTTACCGCTCTAATGGTACCATTCACTTGATCGCAAACGTAAAGCTCCTCCTCCCTCACCGCCACGCCAGCAGGGTTCTTAAATCTGGCCTTGCTTCCACGTCCATTAGTGTGCCCCAGCTCACCACCACCGGTGATTAAAGTGACATTCGCAGGGCAGTGCATGTCAATGATGAAAACTGCGTGAAGAAGTCGATCAGTTATAAAAAGCCTGCTGTGTTTTGGGGAGAATGTCAATCCTGCCAGGTAGCTTAAAAGAGATAGCCCATTCTTCTTCCAGCGCTTGAATTCTAGTTCGGGCACTAATGTAGTGCTCACTTTCTCTCTGTCTCTCTCTCTGTCTCGACATCCATGCGGTCTAGAATTCGAAGTGCTTTCAGGGAAAAGCATTTCTTTATGCCCTCATCTTCTCTGCGCAATAACAAGAGAAGCCTTACGTTTACGAGATAACCGTCAATGTCGATTCAATGCCAGAATTCAGCGGAACGTAGACTTGATGTTGTGGGGCAATCGGGAATAGAGACTCGGTGAGGATACTTCTCTCTATCTGCAAGCATAGTATTCATAAAGGTCTTCTGTTTCGGATCAGAGTCAGTGGACCAAACTAATGGCAGAACTCTTGTGCATACTATGTTTTCTCTCAGACACTGACTACAAGGGCGAAGGAGTGGGTACCAGTCAGTATAACCAGATGTGGAACATAAATTGCGGACCATCTTCTCGCTGAAACAATTATCGCAGTGCGGCTTGTGTCCCCCCACGTGCTTTGGGTTACTGGTGCAGTTTTGACAGTTCCTGGCTTCCGCCTGGCTTCTAATTACAACTATGCTTCCACAGCCATCAGCAAAATATTACTTTTTGATGCTCTCATTATGATTTATGGAAAATGAATATTTATTTTTGATTTTGGTCAATCGCAAATCAGAAGTGCCAGAAAGTTCGGAAGAGTCGAAAATGAAAGGAGTATTTAGTATTAAGTAATAAGGTCGATACCTCGACCCTGGGTGCCAGATAAAAGTAGCGCAGTTTCCGGTGCCAAAGCTTGCCGTGCGCCCAGTTTGCTTGAAAACCCGCAGGAAAGCAAGCTAATTTTTATATCCTCGAAAACAACACTATTTCCACACCGCATGGGGAAAATGTTAATTGGAAAGTTGCTGCGAAATGTGGTAGTTGAATTTTGAAATATTGGCGATATTCAGGAGTGTGTCTTGAGCTCCTAATTAAATGAAATGGTCCCGGTTTAGACTTCAATCATACCTCAGTCCCTCCGGTACAAAGTCACTGAATTGATACGAGCCCTTCCTTTTGCGCTTTTCTTGAAAAGTTAATTTCCTCCACTCGGGGCACTGTTTTCCGCAATTTTTGGGCTATCGACACTCGTTTCAGTTTTCGTGAATTTTCTAGAATAAGGAAGCAAGTCTGGTCTAAAAAACTTTACCATGTTTCTAAGTTCGCTACAAGGTATCTCTGACCAAAATAAGAGGATGGTCATTTTTCGGTCAAAGTGTCCCCTCTTACGCAGTCTTGAAAAATAGACGTTCTTAAGTAGTAATCCCTCTATCACAAATTGGACCGTTTCATCTAGCTAGACCATTTGAAGCAGTGGGATCATTATATGCACCTGGACCATTCCAAGTGGTTGGACCACGTTATCTAGAAAGTCGTATTTTAACCGGTAGAACAATGCATGTAGTTTGCCTATTTAAACAAATCGGTTATTTTCAGCCAGTTGGACGAATTTCTTTAGTTGTTCCCAATCTCACAGTTGGACCATTTTCTCCAGTTACACCATTTAGTACCAGTTGCACCATTTAATGATGTAACAAAATTTGACCAGTTGGATAATTTTAAGCACCTTCACTATTTCATTAAGACCTTTTTAAGTGGACAGACCACTGTAACCAGTTTGATCATTTTAACCTGTTAAATGATTTTAAGCGGTTGGACCAATTTCTCTAGTTAGACCACTTCTAACACCTAGACCACTTTATCCAGTTAAGACATTTTTAATTGGTTGAACCATTTTATCTACCTATGAACCAATTTATCTACTTGGACCATTCTAGCTGGAACATTTTTACCGGTTAAACCATTTTATCTAGTTCCATATAAATCAGTTTAACCAATTAGAACATTTTAACCAGCTTTGAAATCCGTTACGGTGGCCACCGCCGCAGCACCACAGTTTCTTTGGAAACTTACCCCTTTATTAAAAAGATATATATCATTACGCACACCTGTTTTTCAAAAACGTTGCCAGTTTGAAAATATATATTAAAAACGTATTTCCTTTCCTCGTCAAAGTGACTGGTTTTGATGAGAAGACAAAAGGTATATATGTTTAGTATATATTTTCAAATTTGCGACGTTCTTGAAAACAGGTATATGTGTGATAGATATATACCCGTTTTCATAAAAGTTGCAATTTGAAAATATATATTGAATAAATATACCTTTTAATTTCTTGTAAAAATGTCTTAAGAAGTAAGAGTGGCCTCTCCCTAGGAGCCTCTGTAGAGTGAGAAGCAAACCAAAGTTGACTGACCAGACTAACGGATACAGTCTCTGCCATAAAGCTTTAAAGACAGGCATTCGGCAGCCCACCCTAAAGTAGACTTGTCCATAAGCTCCACTAAGATGCTAGCCCTGCATTTCAGGCAGCTAGGCAGGAGATAGTGGCTTTCAACTAAAAACTAACAAGATGTTTGCAATGTCAATTGAGCCCCCTCCTCACACCAATGCTTTTGACCCTCAACCACCCTCCTGAGTACCAATCCGGCAAAACAGGACGCCACCGGGATGAGTAAAAAACTCCTTCCAGCCTAAGGGCCAATTCTAGGGGTCCAAAAACTACCCTCCCCACCCTTGAGCTTTAGGAAGAGAGCTGTTTGCTACCAACCCACGAATAGCTCATTGACTGGGCTAGATGCGCAGTTCTAACCTTGACGTTAAGCTCCCTACAATTTCATTGGACAGGGTAACTTGAGGGTGAGCCTTGCAAAGAATCTAGCAAGCAAGTGTTTCCATGTCAATAGAACCCCCTCCCAAATACAATGTTTTTAACACTCTCCTTAAAATGTAACTTAATGGTCAGTGGAGTGCTGAAGCCAACAACTTGGTGGCCTTAGGGAATCAGATGAATTATTTAACAGTCTATTGGTAGATTTGTAAAGTACCTTTGGACAAGTATAGTAATCTTTTAGAGCAAATTTCAAGCATGATGCAAATTACCACGTAGAACTGCTCATCCCTATATGGTACAATATTAGTTCTTGGTTTGTTTGCCAAAACTCTCTAGAAATTTCAATTATTTTAATTCTTATCTCCAGGTATAATCTTTCGCTTTTTTCTGCAATAAACAGAACCTGAAAAGTAGTTAAAAATTTATTGAAAAATTTGTCAGTAAGTGACATCAATTTACAAGTTGTTCCTATTCACACAACATTATTAAGACTTCACAAGTATTAACTTGGCATTCTTCATTAACATCACTCAACTGATTCCCAAGAAGCACTTCTTCACTCTAAATTCGTTTCTGGAAAGAACAAATGGAGAAACAGCAAATAGGTGAGTATAAGGCCAGAAAACAGCAGGACAAATTGAATTAAATAATAACTACTCTCAAAGCCTACAACAACAAAACACAAACTGCAAGTAGTATTGTTGCACCATCACAGTTTTATTAAGCACCCCGTTTGATCTCTTAAAATAATGAAAAACAAACAAATAAACAAAAACAACAACACTAAAATCCATCTTACAATAACTTTGTTGACAGTCAGTTGAGTACCTTTCCTGGTTTTCCTTTCTTTTTTTCCTTTTTTTTCTTGAGACCTGAGCCAAGCTTGTTAATTGCAGCAAAAGTTGAAGAATTTATTCTGTGTGATACATTTATTTTCATAGCATTCAATCCACCTAAAGTTTAACCAGAAATACAGATTCAGCTGAATAGCAAACAAACATTATACAAATTGCTTTTAACAGATTTGAATAAGGGAGATTAATAATACACTGTCTTGGTTGAAGTACCCAGCAGTCATGCATGGGAACAACTATTGACCTCCTTTAAACCTCCTTTAAGTAAGATGAGCATTTCTGTTGATTTAATAAATATTGTTGATTGGAAAGGAGAGAGGAAGAAGGAAATCATGAAAAAATATTAAAATAGCTTGAACTTTTTTTCACACATTAAAGTTATTTGCTTCATGCACTCACAGATCCAGTTAATGAAGTTCAGCCTGGTTGGATGGGGCTCTCACATGGATTAGCGATTGGAAACCTTATATCTTGCACTTTTTAAAATTTTTCCCCAAAGTTACTTAAACCTTTGATTTAAAGAGATTTATCATCAGAGCTAGAAAAGAATTCCCTTGCCCATAATCTCTGCCTTACTTGGAAGATTCATTTCAGGTTTGTAAAATTGTATTTGATAAGCATGTGAACAGGCTCTCATTATTAGCACTTTAGCACCAGCATATTTTCCCCATAGAAAAGTATGAAGCTTTGAACTACGTGAGCCTGTGAAAGGTCTGCAAAAGGACCAGCCCTGATAATTATTACTTTGAGATCCCTGGAAAAATCATCTCCCTGACTTGTCTCAAATCTTCCTACAGACAGAAAAATGCGCATCGTGCAGTAGAGAGTTTAAAGCATCATTCAGGTTGGCTATAATGACATTTGACATAGGTTCATAGCCTGCTTTGCACCCTTAATGTAGTTTGTCACGCATATTGTCCTGCCTTTCTGGACTTCATTGGGTACCAATTTCTCTTGCTTATCTTGCTATGCTGCACAGCCAGAGGGCACTAATATTTCTTTTACAATTTTATTGTAATGAGACTTCCAATTCTACGTTTGGCTTTGCAAGGGGGGGTGGGGGGTAAAAACATTGTATGTGACCTAAAGAAAGTAAGAGTAGCAAACTGACTTGCATTATTCATTTTTGGCACACATATCCAATTGAAAATTGGTGCCTGAAGTTCAACCATGCCATTTAATGTTGGTAAAGACAATAATTAGAACTGGAATGATGCCAGAGGTGGAAAAAGTGTAGGAGCAGAGAGCCCCAGAATGGCAAAATACACAGCCCACTTTACAGAAAGGTTTGATGCCATATTCTTAAAGAGCAATTTCTACTCTTTAATACAAGGTACTATGTGCAATTTATTTGTGGAGAAAAAGACAGATTTTATATAAGGTAAGTTCATGTGACAAGTCACATGATATTAAGAAAAACCTTTTTGTTTTTTTTTAAAAGGTCTAGGTAAGCACTCACAGTTTGATAATTTTATTGACTTTCGGTTGAGGGAGGTGGTTTTAAATGCTGGTTATGAATGGAGCCTTGCTTTCATAGCAAGCATCAGGTTCAGGTAACAGACACCTCCCCCTATTTTCACTAACCTTCCTTTCTATCCATGAGAGCCTCGAGGATCTCTCTTCCACCCAGGTCACCAATAGCATTATCATCTAGATCGAGTTCTTGTAAGCTTTCAGAGTGTGTTATCAGTCTGCAAATCAATATGAGACAACAAAGAACTAGACTGTTCAATATACATAGCTGTGCTTTTCATTTTCTTTCCCCTTTATCCCCCTTTTATCTTTATGAGGAACTTACACATTCTTCAATAGAATGTGCAATATACTGTAGCAAACTTATGTTCCAATATCAGATCATACACATCAGATAATACTATTCCCTTTCCCACAGTAAACTGAAATTTTACCAAAACAAAATCACAACATGCAAGCTGTGTGTGTGGTGCAGGTAAAAGTTTGGTCTTGATTATATTTTACAATTTTCAAAATATCACATATTTTAGTCTCAGTTTTTATTTATATTCTTTCCTATAATTCATCAAATATTTTTTCTTGCATGCAATTGGTCTAAATGTATCACATGACTGAATATGTGATGTGCCCCAAGTGATATTCCCCAATTTCAAAACATGAAGGCTTAAAGTTTGCATTCTCATAAGTAGAATATCATAGGAATCTCTAGGAGGTCACATATCTCCAATAATGCTTGAGACTGTGTCCTTGCTCAGAGGAGTGGCAGAAATAAGGACAAATAAAGCCTATAATTTAAGCAGATACTAGAAGATATGGGGGGTTTCAGGCAAACCCATGGCATTCACAGATACTGTGATGAGATTGTTCCAATTTACTCTGTATGCTCTACTTGCCACCACTATATTGGAATGATTATGGTTTTGTTAACTGGGGTTTATCAGTTTAGATGGTTTTGCATGGGGTTTTCAGTTTTCAGCAGTTTTTTTTGGACAGTTTTGTGGTTTTGAATGACTTTCCCTATGGTTTGTGGTTCCTAATAGTTCCTAATGCCCCACTCTTAAATCAGTATCATTATTATCATGCATATATGTCTCATATCTGTCAGAACTAACTAATTAAAGAGATCTTCAGAAATGCATATTTATATTATGGTAACCGTTTAATTAACTGAACAAGTTGCACCTACTTTCTGAACATTTTCATACACATGACAGGCCCAAGAGTGGAACCCAGCCCATATGCATCAATGCCATTGTTCAGCAAGTGAAGTTTCTGAATCCAAGGGCCCACTGGTGGTGGGGGAGGAGGCTCTTTTTTTTTCCTTGCACTTTTCTTCTTTTTCCCTTTCTTTCCAATCTTGCCTGTAGAAGACATTTGAGACCTCGCACTAAAGGATAAAAGGTAAACTAAATTTGACATGTGACCACTTTGACCAATAACATGTCCATTTCAGTAAACTAATATCCTTGTAAGTTTTCAGATACACCTTCTTAAACATTTAGTTTGACAAATCCTCAAACATTTTCTTGAATATTGATGAAGATGGGATATCTCTTGAGCTCTAGGTTGTAGATAAATCATTAATTTGAAAGAATGATGCAGTTTATCAAAATTCTTGCCAACAACTTGGGCTATTCCAAATAAAATGAGTTCAAAAGGTTTCATGATGTGAGGATGTCATGCACAATCCAAAGAAGAGACATTACACATTTGAGGAAAAAGTGTAATGAATAAGGAAAGATACATAATTTGTTTGGAAAGTACACATCTTCACAGTTCCCAGCTGGGCCCAATTTTGTTTATCTCTATAATATATGATTTTGTTGCTTTGTTGCAGACACATTATCTTTAAGTGCCTAACTCATGGCCTAAAGGGTTAAAGAATACTGCAAACTTATGGTTTCATTCACTAGTACAAAAAGGCCTGATGGAGTTACAAAGGGTAAACACTTTATTTAGCTTAAATCTAGATGACTTCTTAGATAAATATATGTAGCCAACCTTCCAGGTTTGCTTCTAACGGCAACTGAAGATGTTGGTCTTGACACTGATGACATAGCTGATGCCACACTTGGTACAGTTAATGTATTTGATTCAGGAATTTTCCCTTCCTTTTTTTCAGCACGCTCAATAGCTTCCATTTCTGCTGTGTCAGCAAAGAGCTTTATAAGTTCGATCACCCCTTCACACTCCAGAAAATTGCCATCAAGATAGACATCTCTGAGTGAAAATATAAATTTTTTTAAAATGATATTCCATAAAATAAGCTACACTTGAGGTCTACTAGCCTTATTTTGGCTGTTAAAATTAACTGAATATAAAGTATCAAGTTACTTTCAAAAACACTTGATCAACTAATAAAAACAACTCAAACCAGCAGAGTTTTTACCATTTTTGAGGAACAACATGAAAGTTCGAAAAGTAACCTCAAAGGTAAAAAAATGCAGATTTTATTCCCCTGTTAAAGGTCATACATCCAGTTTGAAAGTAATACTTTGTTTCTGCCACACCATGTGGTTAGCGCTTGTACTAATTGAAGATTAAATTTAACCATTTACAATTGAAATGCTGGCTACATCCATTTTTTTTCTGCAAAATAAGCTTGTACTAGGCAGTCTGTTAAGAATTGATTGAGCAGTGTGTGTGTGTCCCCTAAATATGTTTTCACCATAAGCAAGGAATCTCCTTTAACCATTCAAGCCAAGATGCACATTTATCTTATGAAGGCTGTTTATGTACTTTGTTTTTGTACTTTGTTTATGTACTTTGTTTTTGAATAAAGTGGATTCCAAGAGCCTCTAAAAAGTTTTCTATCAACCTTTTACCCTGAATACATCAATATAAGATTGTTTCAGTACACAAAGTTACCTTATGGCTGTGTTGGAAATTGTTTTTCCAAGGAGCTCCCCACTTTGAGAACCAAGATTACAATAGCATAGGCTGAGACGCAATAGTGTTTTATTACCATAGAGACCTCTACAAAGACCACTGCAGCCAGAGTCACCAAATCTGGAAGAGAGTAATGATCTGGAGTCTTGAGAATGAACTCAAAATAGTAAACTTGAAACATAACATAACAAAATGTTTGAAAATACATTAATTTCTTATGCAGCTATGCTGGTCATTATTTTTCCATTTCCTGACATACAAAAAAAGTATGTACATGATTTGTTTCAGAATTCTTTGGCACTGATGTAATGCAATGTTTGTAAAAGAAGCTAGAGCCTGAAGGAAGGAGGCCTCAGAGTTGTTTGATTTTCAGCACAATATTAACTTTATTGCAATATTAATTTTATTAGGGTTTTGGAAATGGGCCACTAAAAAGCAAGCACTTGAATGCAGCAAAGTGCTAAACAGGGCTAGGGATAACCTTGTGGATATGGAAATAACAAACACCTGCAAATCATTTCACTGCACAACTAATAACTATATGTATTTTTGACTAGTATTTTTTTTTTACTATCTTCTTCCCATGCTATCTTGTTTCAGTTACTGATCACCCCAGGGAAGAAAAAAAATTGGGGGCTTTTAGTCCATGGATTGCAGATCTTTTCTACTGCACATTTCTATTCCTTTAATGATGTTCCAACAAGACATAGGTTATGAAGATTCAGTGGAAACAACATCACACTCACAATTGGAGGCAGACAACCTCAAAGAGCCAGCTAATTAAACAAAGTTTTTTAACATCTTCAGTTTAACAGAACCTTCTATATCAACATTTATTTTTTAAGACCAGTGTAAAGAGGGCTGAAAGCCACTTGTAACGTTAATTTTGTTCAATGAAATCAACCCTCCTATAAAGAATCTCTGAGACCCACTGTTTGTAAAAAAGTGTGGTTTGAGTTAGACCTTGGATAAATAACCAGCCCAAAGGTCAAAACTCCCTGATGCTGTTTGAAATTAAGCTGGGATTTATCAAATAAATGACCAGTCAGAAACACAGAACCATTTTTTTGCCTGACTAAGGAATCAGAGGTTCTGGTAATACTTTGCTTCTTAAAAAGCTCAAGGCAGCTGGATGAGTTAAAGTTATTTCTCTGGAGAGAGACCTAGACAGTTTTTCTTGTAAATTTTGAGTCTGATTTGATGGTTGGTGTCCACCACCTAAAAAAAGAGTCTGGAGATTGGGATGCAAATGACACAGACATTTTTGGAGTGCTCTATTGGAAAATAGGGGCCATAGGCAAACCACCATTCAAGAAGCAGAAAAGTTCTGCACATGCACTTTACAACTCTGTATATTTCCTTGTGGTCCAGTGCAAAGCAAAAAAGTCATGGTAAAGATAACCCTGGGTAAGTTTGAAATCTGATTTCAGATCTGAAAGCTTTAAAATAAAATTCAGTTAGATCTCTTTTGTCAAAAATGTGATAATTTGATGCTCTAAAAAGGGATACCCGGTAGAGGAGGTCTGGCAACATTTTACATCTGGCAACATCTTAAGCTCAATACATTTAATGATACTCTAAAGTCCATTCCAGACATCCATGCTCCCATGAAATCAATTAAGATTAGTGCAGACCCTGTTGTTTGGTCAATCAGGAAATCAAGGATCTCATGAAATCTCGAGGTAGCCTCCTCAAATGATTCATCAAACACAGGACACTGTTGACTGGAACAATTTAAAGAATCATGCAACTTGGTTAAGAAAACCCTTCTTGAAGCTGAGAGAAACCACACCTTTGAAGAAGTGAGATTGCATCAGAAAAATCCTGGTACTCTCTGGAAGATAATCAATTGTGCTCTCACTATCAAAAACAAGGAAAGGAAATTTATTCTAAAGATCCAAAATCCATAGAAAATGAATTCAACCAGTTTTTTTGCAGCTGTCAGTAGAAATACCACAGAGGCCTCTTTGTGCCTATCCAAGAAAAACAACATAGTGATCCCTGACGAAATTAGTGTCGACTTCCCTATCATTGATAAACCTTTTAATCTCAGGACCATGACATGTGAGGAAGTACGCTAAGTTGCATTGTCAAAATTGTCCTCATTAATTCACTACTTACCTCCTCAACAACAACAGGTTAACAGCCCACCAGAGTGGTAACAAAAAGGCCCACACCACTGAGACTCTGAACATCTACCTCACAGACCTCAGAAGCTATGGATAGAAAGAAACTCACTGCTCTTGCCCTATTAGACCTCTCAAAAGTTTTTGACAGCTTCCAACATCAAAAGCTGCTTCTTAAACTGTCCAAAGTCAAAACATCACCCTCAACTGTTAATTAGTTCATGAGCCGTCTATCATGATGCTCTTAATTTGTCCAAATTGATTCCACTCTTTCAGACCCTGCTAATAACACACAGAGTCCCACAAGGCGCAGTCCTTTCACCACTGCTTTTCTGCATCTACCTCAATGATCTACCCTCAGCTTCCAGCACTTGCAGCCTGGAGCCATATGTGGATGACTTGCATGTATTCCTGTCATTCCTGCTGGCAGAGGTTGATTCAGTGATTGAGAAGCTTGAATAAGACCTGCACAATGTGGCCTAATGGTGCTGTGCAAACAACTTACTAATAAATCTGAGCAAGACCAAGCTCTTCTTTACCGGAACTAGGCAGTTGATGAGTAAGATACCAGAAGTTCTGCAAGTGTCCTTTGTCACACTGTTGTAAAAAGAATGCTTTAGAACATTATATGACCTTTTATTTTCTTAAAATGTAGCCTTGTTTCGTTTTGATTGTGTGATAATAAAATATCCTTTTGGCTAGCCACACAAAGAGTTATTTCAGTTTAGTTTCCTTTACATCATAGAAGTATATTAGGCCTTTTTTCATGTGAACATTTTAGTTTTAAGGAGTTGTCCCTAGAGCAAAGAGTAGTTTTCTAAGAGTCTTTCAGAGTTTTTTTTACAACTTGGAGTTCATCCCTGGAGCCAAGATCAGACGTAAGTCACGATCGTTAGTTGTGTTTTTTGTTGTCAGATTTGTAGTTTAGCTCGTTTCCTTAGCTTAGACAGATCGTGTATTCCTTTTAGTTTTCACCACAAGTGTTGTAACAAGTAGGCTATAGCCTGATTACATGATTTAGTCCAATAAATGTGTGTAAGAGTCTGCTGTCCATCCTGCACTTCACTGTGGTTGACCTACCTGTGGCTACCCGTGAGGCAATTACTTTTATATAAGGATGCAGTAACGACATATAAATGTCTGCATGACCTTGCTCCACAACACCTGAGTGATTAGTTCATTAAATGCTCTAATATTCATGCTTGTTACACAAGCAAAAGGGACTTGCTTCAGATTCCAATTTGTAAAAATGCCACAGGCCAATGTACTTTTACCAATAGAGCAACTAGCTTATGGAACAGTTTGGACAATGACATTAAGAATCATACCTCCTTGAAATCTTTTAGGATCACCTTGAGGGAGTACCTCCACACAGTATGTTACCATAAACCTTCAGAGCTTGTTTAGTTGTAAATAATCACTATATATTTTTTCATTCTTAATATTATTATTTTATATCTTTATACAATTGTAAATAGATTTTGAAAAACCTTTTGAACAACATCTATGAAAGTCAGATTTCCAACTCAGGTAAGCATTATTCTTTGCCTACTTACCTGCCCAGCAAGCAACTCAGGAAATTGTCCATTAAATTGAGTAACGAAGAAAGTGCCAAAATTTTACATGACAAGGGATCTAAGGGGTGCAAAGGTTGCATAACATTAAACAGTCCTACAACAAAACTAGGTATGTTTATTTCAATTGTCTGCATCAATCATCAAAGTGTCAAATTTGGTTCTACATGAGTGATTGCCAACCGAACATGTCATGTTTTCTTTCCCTCTGATTAAATCCCTTGGCGTTTCAGTTGCCTTTTTTTTTCTTAAGAAGTAACCAGTAAATGGTAGAGGTATGTTTTCAGAGACTGCGGCATCACAAGCTTAACTGTAAAACTCAGTTATTATAATTTGATTACCTCTACCAAGTTTGAAAGAGATCCTTATTTTTGAATTTCAACAGGTTTGTTGAATGCTTTCAATGCTTCCTTGAGGTTGTTGATTAATTTCACATCCACATGATTCCTGATGTTTTCCATGGTTTTTCCAAAGACCGCAGTGTTCATCAACTTGAAAAACTCTTTCTCAGATTCATTCTTGGTGTTCGTGTACAGCTTTGTGTTAAGCTTAATGTGTTTCTTCAACCAAGGCTCTTTTTTCAAGCTTATTCTTCTATGAATCTTTTTGATCCTTGAACCGAGATTGAGATACTGTTTCAGTGTTCTGTGACTAAGTGTGTATTTCTCCTCATCATTCAGATTTTTAATAAGTTTTTCTACCCTATTAGTAACCAATCTCTCAGAAGCAAGTGGGAAGTTGTTATGCAAGTCATGAAGCTCTTTTGTATACTTGAGATCCACATCAAGAATGCAAGAAATTTCTCTCTAGTTGACAAGGTCAAAGACAGTCAAGCCTTCAGCTAGGTCTCAGAGCTGCATCCACTTGAAATTTCCAATGGGAAGAGGTTGGCACTTGGCCCATCCATGAAAAATATTTGGATGGAGATAGGTGATGTATTTCATTGGCTTTGTTTCATCATAAAAGCTTCACCCATATATTTGTTGTTTGCAAACCGATTTGAGATCGTTGAGATTCCTTCCTTCTTATAGTGCCCTCAACATGACTGGCATTATTTGTTAAAGCTGCTTTACTATTGATTAATGCTAAACTTAAAAGTTCAAGAAAATATCCTAAGCACTAACAAACAGGTCAAACAGGTTAGGCCAATTAAGTTTTTAATGGCTCTCCACAATAGCCACCAAGATTTCAAAATTAACAAAAAATAATATTTTTCCTTAACCAACATTCATGGCCAGGAGGTGATTTCATGTTGGATGTTTAGGACTTTTCTTCCATTCACTCCCAATAATGATGCCATCAGTTCTTAATTAATGTAAGTAATGTCTCTGCAGTTTAAAGGTTCTTACTTGTTATAATCAAGCACCAGAGCAGTCAGATTGCTCATACAAATGGACCTACAAACAACAAATAAAGTACTTTTATGAACTATTAACATGGTCAATATTTTTAGGATATTTATTCACCAACACATAAAATAAATCAATGTTCATTTCTGATTAATTAAAAATACAATTTGATAAATTATAAAAATTGTTGCTATTTGAACAATAATCCCTAGAAAAATGTTTGCGTAACAACTTCTTTTTCCCAAAAAAATTTTTGCATAATGACTTTTGTTTGCATCTTCAAACAGAGAAAAATCTTGGAAAAAAAAAAAGTGCCTGTTCTTAGAGAACACCAACACATTACACCTTATTGGATGGTTTAACGTCTACATGCAGGTGTTAAGGGAGTTGCGTTATATCCCCTAAAACATTGATTACATTGAGGGATTATTATTCCTGCACCAATTCTTCATCTCCTAGTATTTTAGAATGTTTTCATGCTCCTCTCCTAAAACGTGTCTCATCCTTTAAGTTCTACTTTGAATATCCTGAGAGAAACATATAAATAATGGCTGCAAGCAACATTTAATTAACATTAAGGTAAAGCAAATGTTAAAAAATTGATAATTAGCAAAAGTTTGCTATAAAATGCTTAACTAATCTATATCAGTATGATATCAAGTGATGAATATTCAAATTACCTTGCTAGCCTGTCTACTCCATAGCTATTGATACCACACTCCAAAAGTTCCAGGTATTGAATGGGATAAATAGATTGCTCCAAAAGCAATGCCTGCATATGAAGTAGAAGTAACTGCAAGTTTACTTTCACATCTGTGGGAATAAATACCTTCAACTCTATAGATATTTTAATCTAAAAACTTAATGCTTAATCAAAACCATGTGTAGCTGATCCAACTCATCTTCAGTTATTATATACCAGTGAACAAGCAGTATACTTGAAAAGAGAAGGATGTTATCAGTATTCTGTCACAAGCACAAGGCAAAGGAGATTTTAATTCCCCACAGCAAATTGTACTTCAGACCTTTGGATTCATTGCTTTAATGATCTACCATTAAACTACAGAGAACCTTACAATAATCTTTACCAAACGCAGGTTCATCTTTGATATGCATCCTGCATACTTCTGGGATAAGTAATGTTGAAAGTGTTGGGTCAGGAAAAAGAGTAAGAATAGTGGTAACAGTTTGCTTGGCTTGTGCATATATATCAGGCTGAATTAAGAAAGATGTTGATAATTCTGGTAGCATGCAAGTATAAGACAAATGATATCAGGGTTTGCAGAGATTCCTACCCTTGGGGATAAAAGAACTTGAGAAACTATAGGACATTTCAGTGATGAATTTGTGAATAGAGAGAAAGATCATGTAAAAGGAGACACAAACATAACAATACACCACTTTAGTCTTAATAGAGGAGCAGCAGATGTTTCTTTAGGCTGTTAAACTGTGAGCACACTTAGATGGATGACGGTGAAAACTATCTGTTTTGGAGGCTATTCATTTTCTTAAATCCAGTTAAAAACCATACTCTAAGACATTTGCAGACACATTGCTTAAAATGTTGACATGTTGCTCATAATGAAGAAGCCCAATCTGCTGTCAAATATGAACTGTCATAAAAAGATAAAGAAAAATTGTAAGTTTTGAGCTCAGTTAAGAAATTGACAAAGATGTTTTTTGACTTGTCACTAGCATGGGACAAAGAACATATTCCAAGTCCCAACGAGGAATTGCACCTCAGACCTTTGGATTCTGTTCTCTGATGCCCTACCAACCAGCAACAGAGGAATCAAACCTCAGACCCTCAGATTCTGGCTCCAATTCTCTACCACTGAGCTACAGAGACTCTATGGTGAGCGAGGCCCATTACGAAGTTCATAATGCGTGTGCTGCATACTGCTAAGATTATGGGGACTCAGAATATTTTCTTTGTCCAACACTTGTGACAAGACAAAAAACATCTTTCTCTATTGCTTTACCATGCAAGCTCAAAATTCTTTCTTACTCCATTTGCAAACATGGTGCATTCTGGCTGATCCTAGCAGTATACAGGATGCATGTCACATATGAACTTTGTAATGGGCCTTGCTCACCATAGAGTCTCTGTGGCTCAGTGGTAGAGAATTGGAGCCAGAATGTGAAGGTCTGAGGTTTGATTCCTCATTGGGACTCGATCACAATATTTTCTTTGTCCCATGCTCATGACAAGACAAAAAAACATCTTTCTCTATGAACAATAATGCTGCTGAAATAAAGATATGCCACATTAGCCATGGGATTTTGGGTGTAATAACAGATGGACATGAAACTTACTGTAATAACCAAAACAATTGCCAAACTTTCAAAACTAAGCAATAAATGTATGTCATTGGTATCTGGCTAGATGGCACCAAGGTTAGATTGCTCCCAGTTAGATTGCTCCAAACAAATGATTTTTAAAGTTTTTAGGAATAAATGATTGTGGAATAAATTATGTTACAGTCTGAAGTGTATTGAAAAAAGATCAATCAGTGGCCTTTTTTTGCTGTTTGATGTAAGGAAACTGATATCCACCATCTTTAATTAATAAAGCAGATTACACTTTGTGAGGCTCTTACATGAGGCTTTATTTGTTCTTTCTGCGTAGTTCAGATTTATTTCAAGTGTGTGTGAGCAATATTAATCCATTGTTAGGTAAGATATGCACAACATTTAATGAACTATCAATTTAGATACCTTAGTTTTGCTACCTTTACCTTAGTTTTCTACATGGAGTGAACTAAATTATGTTAGGAGCAAAGTCACTTATTTGATGGAGCGATCTAACTTTTAATTGGTTGGAGCGATCTAACTGGGAGCGATCTAACCATGGTGTGATCTAACTGTAACTCATGTCATCAATAAGACAAAATGGGTGGTTGGGTGTGGCAAAGCTTAGATTAAGGGCTGAAGTCATAAACAAATGATTATAGCCCCCAAAAGTCTGAGGGAATGAATATGTTGTTCTGTTTTTTTGGTCTTCTTTTTTTTTTCATTCACAAAATGAACATGGGTTGCTATTAATAGTAGTTTGTGCTTTAATCATGTTTAACTTAGAACTTTCCCCTGAGATACAGTAAAAAGAACATTGAACAAACCAGTGTAGCAATATCCTCGTGTTTCATTGGTACATCCCAGATATAGATCTCTTTGACATGAACATATCGATTACTCCTTATAGCTGCCACAAGTGGTGAGACTTTTACAGGTATTTCATCTGTTGGACCTGGGGTTAAAATAAACTGTTGACAAACAAGAAAAGTAAGTCAACAGGGGAGGATTCATGCTTTACATAGTCAGCCCTGTGAATCTGCCCAATGAACAACATTATGAAAAATTTTGTTTCTGAATTCAGTCCTGTGAAATACACTTACTTGTACCAACACTAACAAAATCCACCAATGAAAGCAAATGCAATATGCTGCTTAATAGCCACATTCAAATTATGCTTTACAAATATTTGTATTTTGTCCTTGAACTCTTAATCACTTGTGCATTTCTGTTCAATAAACTTTCTCCTGTATAGGGGAGAAAAAAAAAAACTATAATTGCCAAAAAAAAAAAAACGTTTTTTGGACCTTTTGCAGTGCAAGCAAAACACAATGCTATACTTTAAGTTCCATCACCCATCTAGCTGAGAAAATGTAGTCAAGGTGCATGGCACATTGTTCTGTTGGTAGGTCCTTGAGTACATGGAACCATATGGAGTATGTGTGACAAGCTGCTGCACTGCATGTGTAATTTGGGGTTGAAGCATAGGGGACTGTCAAAGTAGGCAAGGTGAATGATGTTTTTTTGTAATGTTTGTTCTTGATAAGTATATTACCAACACCTGTCTATTACATGTATTTTATATTTACAAATAAAAAAATTGGCTGCTCCATCCAAAATAGCACCAGTTATCTGCTATTAATATTTGAAAGAAAACAATCATGTTGCTTTTCTATACTGTGGAATCATATCAATTATATACATAATGAATATCTTGCCTAAATCCTGAATTTCACTCACTTCTGGTATTTGTATCCATGGTCTTTTAAAATAAATCAGGATGACTGAGTAACTGAAAAGGTTGACTTTCTCTCTAGTGACACCATTTCACTTTGTTACAAAAACATCCTTGATCTAATGTCACTTTATGACAAAACCTTGTGAGCAAGCTTCTCAGTAACAGGTAAAAGGAATGCAATATTAGAGGGGTTCACATTATGCACCTTATTAACTCTTACTGAACCACAACACCAGTGCCTTTCCTGCACCAACCTCTCAGTAGCACTTTACACACTTGCACTAATTACCAAAAAGTAAGCAGGTATGTTTTTGTTTTACTCACCTTTGCCAAAAGAGAGTTACTTTCAGCATACTGGTTGATAAGTTTCTTCACATCTGGATGTACATAACTATTGAAATCCTTGCATTTCACTTCATATTGGTGCCTGACTGACTTCAGAAGATCTGCAATACTCTGTAGACCCTTCAATCCTTTTTTGGCACTCTTCTTTCCTATTGCTTTTTTCTTAATTGCCTTTTTTCCCACTGGCATTGTATCTGTAGCAGCTGGAGATAATATAACAAAAAAAAATTGATTTAAGGATTTCAATTTCTAAGGTGGTGCAATGTTTTGGTACTTTTTGTGCATGCTAAACTATTAGCTTGAAAGTGAAAAGTATTATTCACTTAATTACTACGGACAGGTATTCCTCTCCAAGCAGCTAATACACATAGTAGACAAAACTACACAAGAGACTGACTTATTACTGTTTTTCTGTATATCAACAGAAATCGCAGTTCTTGCTTGGTATATATAATTATCCAATTCAGTGTCAGTGAAAGTGACAGATAATTACCTCCCATTGGTTGTACAATAGGCCATTTTTAATGTATTAAAATTTTTTAACTTGGTTCATGTGCATGTTTACATTCAACCGATCACTATTATATTCATTGCAGTTGATGTACTGGACCATTTCTTCTCATCATGTAATTTTCTTGATACTATTGGCCATTTCATAATCTTTGAAAGGGTATCAATATCAAGTATTATAATTATAACATACAGTGTATGTGCAAGGCATACCTATTTCCCAATGTAATTTCTGCAATTCAAATATATGACTTTCATACATTGACAGTCATTTATGCTCCATACTCTCATAAAGCATGTTACAATAAGGCAATCAGAATCCCTGTTAGAATGGTTTGAAAAATCTGATTGGCTGTACAAGACTAACGCTGTCAAAAATATCAAACCATCACAGTTCTAAAACCATTAAAGTTCACATTCTCCAATAGTTTACAAGCTTAATAGTTTGGCAGGTTGAATTTAACACTTTTGCCTGAAGTTTTTTAGTCTCTAATGCAGAATCTGAAAGTGAAATGTTCTGAAATGCTTAATTGTGACTCATAAAACACACAAGTTTTTTCACATGACAATTAGAAAACAACCTGTTCAAGCATGTGTTTTATGAATGAATGACAGCTCAATTTACCAGATAGTGAAAATCGCTCGGCATGACAGCACCTTAAAACTTAGCTTCCATGACTGATGTGGCCTTCCACTCATCACATCGGAAAAGATATCAGAGCTAGCTCTAAGTTGTTCTCTCAAAGGGTGGCCGCTGTATTTCTGTGGCTTACTTGACTGCGATAACTGGAGATCACCATGATGAGCTAGCTGTGTTGGACCTCAGCATGCTTGTGGTCACTCTGACACCATCATGATTAGTATGAATTTTAACAGTCACCAATTTGGCTTTATTTTTATCATTCCGGTTTTGTTCTGTTTTGTTTTTGAACACAAAACTATGTACTACATGAGTGTTAGCTGTGTTTGATTTTTATTACCATCTGTAAACTTGCAATCTAATTGGGTGTGAAAACCTTCAAAACTTGGTCTGTCCAGTTCGTTTTCTCTTTGAGGATTTTTTGTCTCTGCTCTCATCATTCTTCAATTACAGCGCCTGGCATGTTTACTAATCATTGTTTGGTTTGTCTGTTGCTATTTTCTGACTTGCCTGTTCCCAAATTTCACTTTCAATTGCAAAAAAAAAAAAAAAACTAGAGAAAAGTCCTGGAAAAGGTTGGACATGGTACAATTTGGCAGGTGGCATGACAGCTTTAGCTAACCTCTATGCTCTATACTCTGGTGGAGCATGCTCTTTCAACCAATGACATTGCGCGTTACATCCCAACTTGATCATAAATATTAATAGTCTCTGCTCTCATCATTCTTCAATTACAGCGCCTGGCATGTTTACTAATTGTTGTTTGGTTTGTCTGTTGCTATTTTCTGACTTGCCAGTTCCGAAATTTCACTTTCAATCGCAAAAAAAAAAAACTAGAGAAAAGTCCTGGAAAAGGTTGGACATGATGCAATTTGGCAGATGGCATGACAGCTTTAGCTAACCTCTATGCTCTCTACTCTGGTGGAGCACGCTCTTTCAGCCAATGACATCGCGCGTTATATTCCAACTTGATCATAAATATTAATAGGGCGTTACTGGCTAAGCCAGTAACCACATCAACGAACATTGCCGAACCTGATTTGAAAAACTACCGACACCAGACGATAACCTCCGGAAATAGTCAAATGTTCCGGACTCACTCACTTTCTTACAAATCACACCTGACAGAGCAATCTTGAAGAAACGTAATCACGCATTTGAATACACTAAGATGCCGTTTACTACACATCCTTACTTTTGAGACTATTCCTGCTTAGTTGTCATTTTCTGAAATGCAAGCTTATACGTACCTGGTGCTGGAAAACAAATTACATATCAAGTGGTACCTTGAAAGTTTAAATCGCAAGGTACTTTATCTCAGGTAACATCAGGTAAGAGAGGAGATACCAAAGTCTGCTTTGTTGGTGAAGTTCAACTTAATTTTGTGATGCAGGAGACCGCAAGAGACATAGTAGTTGTTTGTTGATTCTCGCTCATAGCAACTTGGCCGATAAAACCTGGACACTAAAGTAGACGTCATACATCCACAACAAAGATGGCGGACGAAGAGGTCGGATCAACACATTATGCAGAGGAAAGGTGGTCGTTGTTGAATTCGCTCAAATGTACGGTAGAAAATATTCTTATGTCCAATTTTGAAAATGGCCAAGTTACTACAGGTAGTTCTCCCCATGTTGAATTTGATTTGGAGCGCATTTTTTGAGCATGGACAACGCAAAAATCAAGTAAGGATTTCCCTTTTATTTTTGTTGTTTCCTTATACGTTTCAGACGAAGATGCGTTTCAGATTCAAGCAAGTGTACATGAAAGACCATCTTTTGGGGTTAAAGATCACAAATTGGCTACAATTAGTTGCAAATTTATAGTAATTTCTGTGTTTGGTGATTTCTTCCTTCCTACAGTTGTAATTTTATGTTCAATACACACTCAGACAAGGATATTTTTTAGCCAAAGAAAATACGTGTCTACGTTCAATTCATTAGTAGTTAACAGAAGGAAAGAGAAAAACTGAGTATGGAAAGCTGAAATGAAGTGTTAATTTTTACAAGTAATCAAATGATGTTTCATGCAATTTGGAAACATGAGCTAGTTTACCTTTCTGAAGACTACAGGTGGCAGTCGCCCAGATTTATTCAATTTTGCAGTATTTTAAAAGTTTATGTATGCTTATTTATTTTAAGTTGTACTTGAAATCCATTAGTTGACTTTGTAGATGCTAATTTCCTAGAGTAATGAGAAGATCTATTCATAATATTACAATGAACCGTGTCTGTTGAGGCCTAATTTTTCATTGGTCTGTAGAATGTTCTTCAAAAAAGGAACAGTGTGTCATAAGCTTTGCTGTGTGTAATTGATATTGTATTTATTGAGTTTCATCTTCTATTTATCAAAAGAGAACTGGTCAAGACAAGGGTGAGAGAAATACAATGGTTGTAGTTTCCCCATTTGATGAAAGTGTTCAAGGGGATCTCACTGATGCTATTGAAGACATATTAGAGAAATTCCATCAAGCTTTTCTTGGTTGCTCTCTGTCTGCCTCCAATTTGTCTCAGCTGGTTAACAACAGGAAAAAAATTAATTGCTTGTACCAAGGTGAGCTTAATTAAATGGTATCTGAAAAGGTGCACAGTGGAACATGTATTAAGTTGTCACCCATGAGGAATGGCAAGATGACTCAGTAGTTAGGAAACTGATTGTTTAATACAGGGTGATAGCTTAATAGGGTGCCACTTAATACAGGTTGGACTGAATTACTTAATGTGTTCTCCAATTTTCGTAAGTAAAAGAGTAACGAGCTCTTCTGTAAAACTTTTAAGTTTTTTTTTTATGTCAAGTTTTAGTTTTTATACAGTACCAATTAGTCATTTGTCTAAAAATATCCTTACCTTTTTCCTTTCTGCAAAACTTGCCTCTCTTTGTGAGTATTTAAAGCGTTTAAATGAATATATTTTACCTACAGGAAACGAACATGCAATGTTGCAGAGAGTTTTATTTATGGTTTTTTATATGTTATCTAGCTTCTTGAAATATTGGTTTTAGGGAAATTCAGCACAGGATGACTCATTTTTTGTTGATTGATAATTCATTAATGTTAATTAACATTGGTATTACATAACACATTAATTAACATCATCCAAATCTTTTCATGGGATGCTTCTATACTGGATACACTTACCCTCATTCTGAGTCTGCCTTCTGAAAGGACCTTCCACTACACTTAGTCGTCTAATGGAGGATTAGTCTAACTAACATAATGGAGCTCTTAACTTTACTATGATTGTGATAGTTGATGATAGCATACAAATTGATACAAATTGAGGCAGTAATGGAAGTCAGTCTATGTTTGTTGACAAGTTCAATGAACTGAATTTTTTAGAGCAGTCTAGCTTATAATTATAATAATAATAATAATAATAATAGTAATAATAATAATTACTTTATTGGATAACACAATTACCGGTAGAACCAGTAGTTCTCATTGTGGTCCCCTAAAACTTCAAATTCAAATAGCAAAAATGCAAAGAAAAAATACAGTTAAAAATTGAAAATTAAAAATTGAATAAAAATTTCTGCTTACAGTAAAATTGTCAACTCTGGAGTTCCAATCTATATGTTTTCTTATAAAGTTGATTTTTAAATTTACCAAGGGAAGTGAGACCCCCTAGTGGCACCGTCTAGGTCAATTACCAAGTAAAGAAAGAAGAAAGCAACTCAACCCATACCCCTCCAAAAAATTAATCTTGCATTAATAGCAATTGCCTATGTTTTTGTTTGGTATGCAAGAGAAATAGAGGAATAGAGGGAAAATGTATGTTAAGTACATGTTTAGGATGAAAGTAATGTGACATTATGTTTTTTTTCTTATTTGTATGTTTTAGGACATTGAAAAGTCAAGGAAATCATAGCATTAGGGTTGTAGTGCAGTATTTTGATTTGACCACAGCTATTAGACTCACAGCTATACAGTATTGTACTTGTATGGTACACTACCTTCTGTAATGTGATGTTTTGTTTTTTTGAAATTTTGTTGTAATTTCTTCAGTTCTTTTTTACTTAGTTCTAGATCACAGAAATGTTTTTAAAAGAAAAAATAGGCACATGTGTATCAACCATACATACTATTTATTTTCTAGACTATGCATTTCTGAGAAGCAATCCACATGTAGAGGCAATGTGCACCTGTATACAAGCTTTAGAGAATGGTGACTTTCAGCTGCTTACTAAAATTGATAACATTCTGGTGAGTGCTATTTACACTGCATTAATTTAAGACACTAAATGATGTTTAATGGGAGCAAATTATTAAAGATTTTGTTCTTTTGAACTTTCAGCTGAACAAGAAAAAGTATGTTGATCTGTGGTTGCAGGGAAGTGTGAACTTTAACACTGGTTTACTTCAGTCCTCTATCATAGACAAAGACATCCAGGGAAAAGATGTTGAAGAGCTTCCTTCATCAAACAGCTCAGGTTGCAGTAGTGAAAAGGACTTCTGTCAAAATGTCTCATTATACAATTCTCCAGAGGAGAGTAACATTGAAATAACTGATGAATCAGTTTACCCTTCAGTTGGTTTGCAGGAAAACCTGCAATATTGCCCTGGGTCTGGCCATAACTGTTCATATTTACCGACAAACATAAATGATCAAACTCTTGGGCATCAATGTTTATCAAGAAGTGGATCCCATACAGAGCAGATAGTAAGAGAAAATGTCAAAGTAAATTGGTCTTCACAAGCTTCTACAACTTTTGGACCCTTGAAAACAAGGGATAGTGTAAGAGCAACTTTAGCTTATGCAGCACTGTCTGTTGTAATGGAAAGTGATGAGGGTATTCCTTACACTGCAATGTGGCTGGATGCTACTGATGACAAAAAATCATGCAAAGTCAGAAGGGCAAGCACTGGTAGTCTTAACAAATATTTTTTGCACTCTCAAAGTGACAAATTAATAAACAATGGGATGTTAGAAGCAGCCAACCTTGAAACTAACTCAGCAGGATCATGTGGCAAAAATTTTAACAGCTCTACTGAGTCTGTTACAGAATATCAAACTAGGAAAGCTATTGGACACAATAGGTCAAAGTCAGATCAGCTTGGTGTGACACAAATTCAGAAGCAGGAGTTCATTAATGATCTGGCTCTAAGTGGTGGAAACAAGGAGAATTCCTGCAGTGATCTTAACAGATTGTCATCTTCACTTCCTGCTACATCAGGTGAGAATTTGAAGCAATTCTTCATTCTCGGCATGATGTTACCAATACCTTGTGGAACTATTCAATTTTTCTTGTAGAATCTCTGTACTGCATTGACCCATACATGGATGATCCTTATCAAGAAAAATCACTGGCAACACTTCTAGCATCACAGGATTTTAGTTCTTGTGAATTAGACAAGGTATTTGCCTCTAACAGCAACTGTTTTAAAATTTAATTTCATATAGCAAAAGATTCAAAAACAAAAGGATCAGTAGCACAGTACATATGAACAATAGCGTAACATGCAAGAAAAATACAAAATATTTATAAAGGAATCAAAAACCTCTTGAAACTCTTTACTTAGAGAATATATTACAGTTCTTTCACTTATTGCTTTATTTTGGGACATTTCGGTTAATTTCCAGCAATTTCTCTATTACCCATGATGCATTGCGACCCCACCCATTTTCATTTGCATGATCTCTTTCACGTGTACCAGGCTTGCTACATAGCAAAAAGCTTCTAGAAGCTTCTAGGGTGGTTACAAAGCTGTTGTTTTTCCTTCGATTGCACGTAGCCGAGTGAAATGGCGGTCGAAGTGGTCGAGAGTTTTCGAAGTGACGCGCGGCTGTTTTCGCTTTCTTCCCTCAATGTAACCTGAAACCCTGAACGAAATGTTTCAAAACGTTTGGGATTTAGAAAAACGCTTCTTGTTCCCTCAATTTGTTATATTTTCTCGTGAAAATGAGCAGTTAGCTTCGTTATGAGATGAGAATGACACCGCAGGAAATTAACATGTTTGGTCCAACGCCGGCAGTACTGCGGATGGCTTACATTTGGCATTGCATCCTTTATTTACGGAAAGACGCGGTATGTTTCATAGTGTTTGGGAATCAAACATTTGCTTCATTCTCAAGATTGAAATACGCAAAGTCGCCAAAACTTTCAGGACTGGCTCTTCAGAAGATGAGAATTCCATTGTAACAAGCTTTTTACTATCACGGCATTCTATGCCGCCGAGGGGAATACCTTTCTCCTGATTTCATGGACTGAAACATGGAGCGTGATGCTTGTACACTTGAACAAAAAGTGCTATTTTTCTCTAAGGATAGTCTGTCTTTCAAATTTGTACATATACATCTGAAATCTCTGATTTATTGTGATATTTTAGGTGATTTTTTCCGTTGATATCTTCTGCGAGAAACACAAGAAATTTTAAGATAATGATAATTTTGTGTATGGGAATGTTACGCGTGACGCCCTAAATTATGCATATTTTTGGAAAAATTAAATTTGTAAAAAAATGAGAATTCAATAAAAATCCATGATATTACGCAAAGTTGTAGAGTATTATGTCTTTTTTATTTGTGCCAAGTCTCGGCATTGTAGCTGGAAAAGTACGAGAGATATTTTTGTTTATGTTTGCTTCTCTGTGTTTGTGCACGTGAACTGTGCTACTGATCAAGCAGAAAATGATATGCTAACATAGGAAAAGTTTATGTGACAGGCATTAAACTGGACCACCTATCAGTGATGAAAAGATGATAAAGAGCTGGCTGCCAGATACAGTGAAAACCCATTTAGAAAAAACTGTTTTTGCATTTTTCTGTAAATCTACCAAACATATACCTGCATTCAAAGTGACAGAAATTATTGCCAACAAGCCTTTCCAGCAACTCTGAAAATTTTTTGTGGGATCACATATATGACACAATTTATTTAATAACAAAAATTTGTTGTCTGCATATCCTTTTTTTAAAAAAAATCTTGATATTGGGCAAGCAATGAATGAAATCCATATTTCTATTTTCCACTTCTTCACTGGTGTGGTTATGGCTGTGATTTGTCTTCATTTGAATGTGTTCTTTTACAGGAGAATGCCCATTTTAGTATATCTGAAGCACTGATTGCAGCAATTGAACAGGTGTGAAGTCACTTAATATGTGCAACTTCTTTATTTCACTATTTCATATTCATATTTTAATACCTTATAGAAGTCACGGCCTTCATAAGTTAAACAAATTGTATCTTTCTACATGTTTAGGAATGTTGTATTTCATATAAACAGTGTAGTGTACTGTGGTAGTGTCTAAATACATTCATTAAACAAAAGTTGGCAAAATCTTTCACTGTGAGTTTTTAAAGGAGATGCATACTCTAAAAAGCAATTTTTATTGCCACTTTTAAAATGTACAGGTATGTTTCAATTCTTTTAAACTAAGCATGTTTTTAGACTCCAAAAAGTAAGCCCACTTTTTTTTTAAATTCTTCAAAATATTCAACTAAAAATACCATTTTGTGCACTGCTTTGTAATTTGCGTACCAATCTGTGAAATCTTCCCTGGCCCAGTTGTTGAAAGGGAGGATATTGCTAACCAACAGATAAATCACTATCCAGCAGATGACTGTAAACTAAACATACTGGACCATCCACCACATAGGGATTCATCCAGTGGATAAAATTATCCACCATTTGAAAAAAGCAGAACCAGTTCTTGTACATGTTAGTTTTGGATGTGTATAGCTAAGATACAGAGTTTTTGTTGTTGGTGGTTGTTTTTAAAATGGCATCCTAAGGATAGGACTTAAACCTATTTGAAGACAGTATTTTAACAGTTAGCTTGTACATTGTTTTGAATGGTAGGAATTAAAATCATACATGTACATGGTTTGGAGAGTATAATTCTTCAACATGATGATGCTTTCTTAATCTGGGTGTCCTAGAGTTTTCTCGATTTGAATGAATTTATGTTGTGTATTATCTCTAGTATATTGTGAAATGAAAATTTTATTGAATGAGAACCTGGTCACTTGACTGAATTTCATACAGATGAAGTGTGATGCTGTCAATGCATCAGAGGAGGAGGAGGAGGAGGAGGAGGAGGATGAAGAAATCCTTTACTTGAAGAAAGAACTTGAGAGAAAGAGGTGGGAGAAAAGGCAAAGAAAAAATTTGCAAGAACAGGCTGCCTTTAGTGATGAAGCCACCCAATCTACAGCCTCTGAACCCAGCATGCAGACAAACTCTTCAAGTGAGTCATTATAATAGAAAAAAAAAAAAACAGAAGTACCCAAAGATTAAATTCAATTACGAGTCAATACTCCTTTCTCTGCAATACAAGATTCTGCGATTCCCATAAATTTTACAAAGTGTTATTGAATTGAAACAACAAAATTAAAGTTCATGGAGGAGAAATGCTACAATTCAACACTGACCAGAACGATGGTTAGATATGCATCTTGAGTACTGCAGTATTGGTTGAATCCTGTTTATTACTTGGCAGCACATATATGTGTATATCTTGAACTTGCAATAGTTTTATGAGCTACATGTATTTGTATTAGTATATGTAAAAACATTATTTTGAGTGTAATTTGGTGTTAATAAGCACAAGTAAATTTTTCAAAGCCATTAAAATTGCATGAGCCCATAGGGCAAGTGCAATTTATAGTCTTAAAGAATTTCAAGGGCTTATTTACACCAAATGGCACTTGGGTTACAAGTTTGCATTTGTGTTACATGAAATATAATTTAGTGTGCAAACGTTACCAGACACTTGGCTTCTGTAAGAGGATCTCAAAAAATAAAGTATCCTGTCCAGAATTTTCAAGTGATGTATATGCATAGTGAACAAGAATCATGAATGGACCTGACTGTTCTAGCTTATTTTAATTCAGCTAAGATTTTTCAGAACTAAGAATAACTAATGATTAACTGTAAGGAAAAAGATTCTTTGAGCTGGTGATTGATTTTGTTTGTGTGGCACCTGACATCAAACACATTACTTCTATTATCTTTGATACTGTACTGTAATTATAAAAAAGCTCATGTGATATGGAAGAATTACTGCTTGTCAAAGCAGTACAGTGATCTATTAGCATTAAAATAATATGGAGAATTGATTGAACAAGGAGAGAAGAGGCTTTCATTTCTTTGTATTTCTTGGTGTTTAGTTTCCTATTGAAAGATTTTTTCAAATGAATCAAGAAACTGTTTTGGATTGGGGTATTCTTTTGAGTGAATATTAAAATGAAGTGCTTGGCTTCTAAGCAACAAAAATATATTTGACATTTGAGTTATCAAAAAAATATATGTGACGTTTGAGTTATCTGGGTTCAAGCACTCTCCCTCTGTAAAAAGGTTGTGTGTTAAAAAAATTTGTCTCAATGGTGCCCATTTTGAATAATTGTCCCAAAAAAAATGTACTGACTTTATGAAACATGTCACAACTAATTGTTTTTACTTTAACAGCAAATCAAAGTGTTTTGTCTCATTTAGGGTCTGTATTTGACAGTGAAGATGAGCTCAGTACTGAGTGGGAAGAACTAAGTCCAACAGATGAACAATTTCAGGAAAACAATGAATTCCGTACATCCAATGCTACACCCTCTTATCCTAGCTCTGTGACAGACACTGTATTAGACTCAGTGCATAATCCAAATTCCAAGCTGCACTATACCCAGTTGTCTGCTGAAGCAGTAGCCAAAAGCTTGTTGCAGAAGTTTGCCAACCAAAAACACCCAGCAGCATGGGAACTGCAATGGTTAGTATCATTTCAAGATGCTCCTCAGTCCTTGCTTCCTCTACCAGATACTGTGGCTGTGGCACCAGATGATATCCTTCAAGTTGAGGCACTAGAGAATAAACTAATGTCCAGACAAAACTCATTGCCAGTGAGTACTAAATCATCCATAACTAAGGTGTCATTTTAAGACAAAGGTTTGATCAAGGCTTGTCAAGGAAACCAAGATAATAATATGGAGGAATGAGGGTTGAAATGGAGTAGTAATGAAATAGCAATTCTGTCCATTATGTTGTGAATAAGAAGTTACCTATAGAAAATTTTCTTGTGCACTGTATAGTGATCTAACCTCTATATTATTATGTATGTCGACATGTATGTAAGAACAAGTGGTTGATTAACATGGTTGTTAAAAAACAATGCATCTTTCAATTTCAGAGCCGTATTCGGGGAAACTCAGAATGGGCCCCTCCACGGGCACAGATTATTTTTCATACTCATAAACCACCTAGGTATGTGTCCTATATATTGAACAGTTTGGAGTGTTACCTATTTGTGAGATGAGCAAGCCATTTAGGCCTGTATGATATGGGATTTATTACAACCAACTTGGTGCTACATGCCTGGTTAGCTTTACCATCTAATATCCAACACAAACTCAAAGACTAACTTTTAAATAGTCAAAAACTAGGTGATCTGTGTTAAATTAGCATTGCAGTAAATTTTTGTGATGGAATAGTTTCTTTAGGGAACCAGTAATATTTTTAGGCATTTAAAAGAAGGGACTAGCTTTAATTGAGTTTGAGTTGTTTATTTAATAATACTCCACACTGTGTTTGGCAAATTCAAATATTGCTAAGATTCTTCCTGTCATCTAAGCTCTTCATATGGTTTTACAATCATAAGCTAAATATATATGTCAAGAAAGAAAAGAAATTCCACAGATTGAAGGGTAAATATTGTATGAAGAAATTAAAGAATGTGTAAATACAGGATTTTGCTTGATAATAAGGTTGTCAAAAAACGAACCAAATTCCAACTTCAGTGGCTGCTGCAGCATGTTTCGTGGGCAAATTTTCAGCTCTTGTAAATTTGAAGTAAAAAAGAAGCCAATGCCTTTAAAGTTGCATCAGAAAATTTTTTAGGAAAAGTGGTTCTTTATTTTGGACCAAAGAGAGATAAATTCAAGATTCCATTGTGGATTTATGGTCTTAAAAGCCTTACAGATCAGTGCATCTTGCTTTCTTTCAAAAACTGTGTTTCAATTACGTAAAATTAATTGTGTGCTTGGAAGGCAAGGGCTGATTATTATGATTGATAGACCAAGGTAACTAATTTGTGCCCAAATTTCAGGAGAAAAGAATGTATGAGACAGCAAAACTTCAGATGTGCTGGTTGTGGTATGGCAGTCTCTCCAGGCAAGTTGTTAAAAAGCATTATTTAAGTTCTTTTTAGTATCTACAGAAAAAAAGACTTTCTCTTTATATCTTAATTATATCAGTAGGCCACTTAGGAGCCCTTACCAGAATCTTGGTCCTGAATTTGGCAAAATTTGCTCTGATGAAGGGCTAATGCTTCAAGCATCAGCTTTCAAACTCATTGCAGTGGCAAATTTGTTATCAATTCCTATATGCTAGTATACATGCATTTTGTTCATTTTTACAGCCTCTTCATTAATTTCTCAGAGTTATGACAGAGAAACTTTCAAAATACTGCAGATTCCCTTATTTGATATTTAGACCACAAGTGCTTGTCCTTACTATTTTCAGTTACTGTTTTCATATATTTTGTTTGAATTTTTTGATTGTTTACCTTTTTCTGTTGGGGTTTACAATATACTTCAGTCATTGACTTTGCTGGAGAACATGTGGACTCTACTGGAAACAATTGTGAGACTGAGAAAAATTATTTTTCTAATAAATTGATGTAGCATATACCTCATGTCCCTGTAGTGGACACAAAGTCCTTGTTTGCAGAGTTCTTGCTGCTTATCAGTAGTTTGGATTTACAAATTTCTGTATTTTAAATAAGTAGTGGTTTTTTCCCTTTAGATTACATGAGGCGATTTCGGTACTGCCACTACCTGGGAAAATATTTTTGTAGTACTTGTCATAACAATGTATTGGAAGTGATCCCTGCTAGAGTCTTAAGAAAATGGGACTTCGCCAAATATCCTTTCCATCTGAAATATAATTTAAGTACTTTTTCTTATTATGTTAGGATGAAGAGTTAATTAATTGGTATTTAAATGTTTCTTAAGCCACTTATTTATACAGAAGTTCCAGCAGCACCATTTAATGATTTTATTTAGCCATTCTATATCATGTGGGAACACTTCATTGAGGTTTGGTATAGACAAAGTAATCAGACTAAACAATATGTATTTTGCATTTCAAGCTTGTATGCCCTTTTTTTGCAAAGAATATTGGAATCAATTCATTATTTTGTCAAAATACACCTAGGAAATTTTGATTGTGCTTAATCTTGTTCACAAAATCAAGGAGTCTTCCTTTTCCATCAAGAAAATTTTCAACCTTTGCTCAAGAAGGAAATAACACTGGAGAGGTGTTTTTTGTATTCAAATCTGTACTGATCCACATGCTTGTACACAGACATTGTAAGTCTAACTAAAAATAATTTGGAAACACTAAAAGCCTTGTTCAAATGGTCATGATAGCTGATGATAGTTTCAACTATTGTGCTTGTTTGAATGTGAACTATCATGCACTAACATTCACTACCATCAACTATCATCAACTATCATGTAGTTTGGACATGTTAAAATTTGACATGATAATTGATGATAGTTTTTGCCATTTGAATGAGTGGATGATAGTTTTTTGGTCAGTAGTTTTGCTTAAAAAAGGGCTCAAACAATAAAAAGTAGCCACCAAAAATTTGCAGAATGTAGTAAGTACATTTCCAACTGTTTGGGGCATAGGAATATCACAATTTTAAGAGGGGTTCCAAATAAACTGATTACACAATAAGTGTTTACACTGGTAGGTTCAGCTGCACTTTCTCTCACCCTTTCTCAGATAATTATGTTCCTGTTGTATCATGCATATGTGATATAGCCTTGTTCATTTTATGACACAGTTTTGTTTATTCCACAAACTTTTGTTCATTCATTGGTTTCAAGTGTTTCATGGTTACAGCAATGAGTGTCTTTATAATGGTACCCATTCACCTCGCCACCAAAGTGTAATCAATCTTGTCACTAAACATAATGATCCAGTAGCAATTGATGTAATTGTATTAAGTGTAGCTAGAGGATGTTGGATTAAACAAATATAGGTTTGCTTGAGCTTGTTGTTATCAGGTAAAAAATTAACAGGATCTCCTTGTGAGCTTTAAAAGCAGTCTTGTTTTGTTGATGAAAAAGTGCATGCCATCACTGACATTTCTTGTCGATCTTGTTATTCATTTGTTCAAGTAGAAAGTTACAGTCAATTTGGCTTACCTTTCCTTTCATGAACACTCTAAATATTCTCAGGCTAGAATTCATCATTCAGTAGTCTGTTTGATATCTTCTTTAGTCAGATCAAATTGGTGGCTTTTTATTGTTTCTGCCATCTCAAAAAGAACTACTGAGCCTTCAGCACAGTTTTGCAGTATTCCTCATGGGATTCTAATGGCAATGTTTGCAAGACTCCAGATGAAACTTAAGAGTCACTTATAGCTTTGAATTTATACCAAATTAGCTAGCGACCTTGGTGGCCAGTTTACTGATGGCAACTTGGTGGTGGCAAGATTGCCCTGGTGGCAAGCTCACTGGTGGCAGGATGACTGTGTACCTTAATAATGAGTGTCTTTATATTGATAAGTTTTCATAAACAGGTTAATCATGTACGATGTTCACTAGATTTCTAATCCTGTCAATGTTGCAGACCAAATGTGTAATTTATTTACTATGTGACAATGTGTGTACACCGTAACAAAAGATTGTGATTAATCAGGTTGCTCTGAACTCAAGATGTAGTTTAAATCTATAAATTTTGTCAGCTTTTGAAACCATTCTCCTCTTTTACCTATGTTTACTGCTGTTTCACTGGGTTTCCATAACTTGACATCAGATATGAGGTGTCTAATTTTGCACGTGACTTACTGCACAGGATATCCTTTGATCCTTTGTTTAATCTGATGGATCTCAATCCCTCATTATACAAGCGTTTTTCGAGTTCTAGAACGATTGAAGGTAATTTGGTTCACACTAATGATCTATTTTTTTTTTTATGTATATCGTGCCTGATGCAATATTTTATCTCTTGTCAGGATGTTCGTGAGACGACTTCACTTTTTCAAGTCCTTTATTCAAACATGCCGTAAAGCTGAAGAGTAAGGGTCATTCTTTAAAAGAATCATAAGATACTAGAAACTTTGGCTCATCTCTTAGAGGGTAAAACAAATTACTAGCAGAAAAAAAGTTTTATTGGTTATGAGCAGGGTGTAGAATGTTGAAGATGCTGGCAATCCCAGTATTTCTTTCATGTGTATTTTGTATTTGTTCTTGGTTAAATACTGAGTTTGTGGTTCAAGCACAAATCAAGTATGGCTGGGAAAACTGAGGGTTTTCATTAAGTGTTATATGGATACTGAAGATGTGACTATAGTTGGGGAATTTTCCACTTGCACAGTCTAACTGCATAAGCCATTTGCCTTGAAGTGACCAGTGAAGACTACTACTAACAAAGTCTAATTGAAGCATACAGGGAAATATAGTACCTTGGTGGTTTATTCATGAACTTTGCTGCCTTAATTGCTCCTTACTGTCATGATCTTGGTTTACCCCATCAGGGCCTGCATGCTTAGTTGTAGTAAGAAGAAAATGTATCACTTGGCAGCGTTTCAATACTAACAATGCATCTGTTTTTCTTCCTTTCCACCAACTTTTCTGTTTATTTGTAACTCCAAAATTGTATCTCAGATTCTTTGAATTTGTCTTTGCAGATTAGCTGAAGAGTTCAACAAGATTCCAGATCATATTTGTGGAGAGCCTCATGTTTATTCCCTACACGACCTTTTGCAGGTGATTTGAATGTGTTTTAAAGAACATGTAAGAGTGGAGTCCACTTAGAGGTCCTACATGGTGATGTAGCTGATTATGTATGTTTCAGTATAAAGAACAAAAATGAATTGGTTTTTATGATGAATTCTTCAACAATGGTTGACCTTGGAAGCTTGTGCATGGGTTAGGAACATGGAAAACAGAAGTACATTGATCATGGCAGTCATGGGAGCTTCTGTCATACTGGCAACTCTATACCCAAATATGGAATGCACCCAAATAATTTATGGTTAATGGACTTGTATTGTGCAATATTTTAACAGAGTTGCTAGGAATAATTATTGTGTGGTATTGGTGCATGTAGTTTTTACAATTCATTCTTAATGAATTTAGCTTTGCTTATTAAAGTTTGATGATATAAATAACTGTTTGGCAGAGTAGCATAATGAAACTTAGTGTCGGCTTTCATAATGCCTATAAGTTTTATTTTGGCAATAGTAGAAGACTGAACAGTGATGGAAGTACTGTCAAAAGGACCAGTTCTCAAATGGGCAAACAATTGAAAACTGCATGAGTCTCCTGGAATGGAGGAAAAAGCTCTTTCCTTTCTCCAAAGGTTTGAAGACAATTTAAGCAGATCCAGGTCTAGAGATCAGAAAATTCTCTAGAAAGTGACGTTATTCAAAGGTGTTCTCAAGAAGTGGGAAAACCAACTAGAGAAACTGGAGGAACATGGCAAACCTAGAGGGAACAAACTTGTTGCAGCTACTCAGTTAGAAGGTTGAACACAAGTTGACATGCAAAAATTTTGCATGTCAACTTGTGTAACAACCTTGTAAAAAAATAATAATAAACAGCACAAAATAGAGACAAGTCACAGAAGCATGTGGATGGCCAGAAGATGAGAAAGACATCACACTCAGAAATGCAATTCTCCTTGGGCTCTGGTGTATTAAAAGTGTTTGGAAGAAAACTAGGATATTCTTGAGGTGGAACAGGTCATTGTGATTGCTACAGACATCTACAACAGTGATTCTCAGAGATCATAATGCCAACTCTCAGTATGGTGTCAACAGCAGTCACAGCCACACAGCAAAGATCAAGTGAAGTTCACAATCTGCAAGAAAACCAATAGGTCAGGAAAACTATGTAAGGATGACACAATGAAGACGCCTCCAAAAGAATAGACTTGGAGAGAAAGTAATCCTTCCAAAAGCTAAGTAGAGCTAAACCTGCTCATCTCAGATCTAAGCATCCAGCCAGAGATGTGGTATGTCACAACTGTAGAAAAAGAGGCAGTACATGAAGTGTTGCAAATCCAAGGCAAAACCAAGTAGGAAACAATCCAAGCCAGTTATCAGTCAACTCCACACCACTGGAACTGCTAGAATAACACTAGAATTAACCAACAGTTTCACCATTTACAAAGGTATCACATCAAGAGCATT